AAAATAAAAAATAAACACTTTTGATTCTTTAAATTCATTATTTTAATTATTTAAATGAAAAAAATGAATATTCACTGAAATAACTGAACTGAAATAAATGTAGTCAGACTCTGCTGAATATGCTTCACAGGCTTTCATCGGATATGATGACTGCAGATCAAAACATAACACTAAAATCACTATAATTTTACAACCATCTCTGCTAAACCAAATGACTGGTTATATAAAAATGTTTAAAAAATGGCATTCACAGTATCTGATTTGGCGTGAAAGCAGAGTAAATTAACCATGTGATAAATGATGACAAGTCATATATTTTAGTGTGAGGTTGTGAAGTGATACAACCCAGTTTATGAGCGCTAATCATGTTAATGGCATCATTGCTAACATGTCAAACCCACGTTTAAGTTTTACAAGGTAATTTGCTGTTAAAAGAAGCCGCTTAATTTTAAAAAAGCTAGTCTAAGTTGGTTCAGCTGGCCTCGGAGTGCCTCAAAACCCTCGAAAACCATTGAAACAGGCTAGCCTGATCATACAACCATCTCTGCTAAACCAAATGACTGGTTATACAAAAATGTTTTAAAAAATGGTGTTCAAGGTATTTGATTTGGCGTGACTGCAGAGTAAATTAACCATGTGATAAATTATGACAAGTCATATATTTTAATGTGAGGTTGTGAAGTAATACAACCCAGTTTATGAGCGCTAAGAATGTTAATGGCAACATTGCTAACATGTCAAAACCACGTTTAAGTTTTACAAGATGCTGTTAGAACAGCCAGTTTTGTGTTAAAATAGTCAAGCTTTTGCTAGTCTAAGTTGGTTTACCTGGTCGTGAAGCGCCCCAAAACCCTCTAAAACCATCAAAATAGCCAGTGACCATGCCTGATCAGCATGGTCACCAGCTAAGACCAGCAAACCACCTTAAGATAAAGGCTGGTTTTAGATATTTTTCTTCAACAGGGTTTGAAAACAGTTGTACATGTAACAGACAGATGATACTAAACCACTGCCGTAATCTCTTACATCACCTGAGGGTGTTTTCCTGTGATTTTCACAACTTAAGACTAATCGAAACGAAGTGACAAGGAAGTGCTAGAGCTAGTGCACTCGAATCTGGGCGTCTTGAAGATTAACATCATCTTATCTGCTGCCTGACCAGACTGAACAGCAAATAGGCTTAGCGTTATGGGTCACTCATGCCACACGCAGCTTTCCGTTTAGAAGTGTCTGACATCAGAAAGCATGCTAACGTTAGCGGTTAGCATGTTAACAGTGCTAAAAACCTGCAGAAACTCCTTGATTAGTAAACATAGTGGGTCACAGAGCTAGATAGTGGCGGCAACATGCATCATCCCACCGGGTATAACTGAACCGCGCTATTCATTACGATAACGGATAATCATTTTGTTCAGTCTGATATCGGCCTTCCCAGCTCTCTGGCTTCCTTGCTCGAGATAAAAGCAATGGGACACTCATTAGTGAGAACAGCCCAGCAGGAAAACTCCCGCGTGGTGCCTGGATCTATAAGTTATTTAATGAAAAGTGTGCGTAGATCAACAACAATAATCTAGACTCTTGTGCATCGGTTTAGGAGGAAAGGAGTATTATTGAAGCACACGAGGTGGTGATGTGTGGTAAGTACATACAGATGTGCACACTAACACGGTTCACTATGCGGTATTGAGTCGAGCACCCACGGTGTCATTGGGCAGGGTTGCCTGGGCAACCACCTCAGAGCTCCCTGCAAAACAAGCGAGTATAGACTATTGTGGGTCAGCGAAGAGCAAACTGCTGCTCTCTGGCCAAGCATGTCTTCCGTTTTTCAAAGAGAACATTTGCATATGATGACCTAGTCAAAAAAGAAACATACTGTATAGTAGTATTGCACATAAATTAACTACCGTGCAACCCTCTTTTAGCAGACATAAGACTGTTCGGAAAAACGCATCCAAATCAAAATGGCCTCTAAATCTTGTTTAAGAACAACTGATTTCTCACATTGCCTGCTTTCACAAGGATCGGTATTGACATTTGCTTCACAGCACAGGTCTGAACAATCACAGCTGTTTCAGGAAGCTTGTATGGCTATGAACTGAAATAAGCAATGTGCATTTCAGTTATAAAATTACATAATTCTACTATATATACTATATAATTCTACTATATATACACACTATATATATATATATATATATATATATGAAGAGTTTGGTTCCAAAACGAGATAAACGCCATTTTGTTTTAAATTGAGTTTCCGCCAAAATCAGTATTGTATCTGGTTGGTATTGAAAAGTCCATTTTTAATTTTACCGCCGAGTTATACTGTCATGTTTTCTCCCTTTCTTTCCAAACTGCGACAAACGCCAGTCTCCCTTTTCTGCAGAATGTGATATATCTGCTCAACCAATCACAGCGCACCATTCCACGCACTGTAAACAGTAATGGCGGCGCTTTGAATACACCCGGCTTCCTAGCTTTCCTCATCTACTTTGTACTTTGTGATCAACAAACAAACTTAGGGCTGCATGATAAATCGCATGTGATTGTCATGCGCATCTCGTCAGTAAAGCCGGTTCTGCGAATAGTAAATCTCCATCACGTGCTTTCAGATGGAGCAGCATTTAATACACAGAGCCATAGATCACTGCTATATC